TGTAGGCAGACAATTGCATTTTTACGACTGGATTCAGTGCAGTGCTCGACTGTTGCAATAGATTCCCTGCTCACTTTTTTTTGAAGGAAGCTGGTATAAAATTTGAATGCAGGGATCGATCACATTGTACCTCTATAAAACTTGAGGGCAGTAGGCACAAGAAATCTTCGAAGTAGTAAAGAGAGAAAGAAATACTGAAAAAATGGAAGTTTTACTAATCTTCGATAAAATGTTCCAGGAGATCAGTGTTTTGGTGAAGCTCGCCAATTCTTTGACAAAGGCAAGGATAGCAGTTATAGCAATCAGCTGTCCTTCAAAAACCCTCCTTTCAATCGGAGTTCACAGCGAAAGTGAAATACGGTAATGACAAGAGTATTGTTACACTCATGTGTCACTCTAGCGTGGATGTTTCTCGGAACCTTTCCAATGGTAGTCCCATGAAAGATGATGATCGTGGCACCTTGGTTTTGTGTCCCTGAACAGCGCTATATAAGCACGAACTCCTGCATCATTCAGAGCTGTAAACAGCGTACAAAAGCTCGAATTTCAGAAGTCAAGTCACTGCACCAACAAATCCGGCAACCGAGAAAGGGACAGACAGAGCTCTTGAATTAGCGAAATCGATTCTCGCTGTAGGTGTTCTGACAGAATAACGGGACTGACCAAGAAGGTGATTCAGGTCATGGCGTGTTTCTTGAAAACGGTCCGTCGATGTAACATGGAACATACGTAGACCACATAAATAAGCTTCATTCTTGCTAGGAGTATGTGAGTTTCTGGGGGTGCCGAAAAAGAAATGAGATCAATGTTGAAGAAAAACTATTTAAACCATCTTGTTAGGCTCTGCTGTCCTCGTTATTGTCAAGTATGCATAATGCCAGAGGCGTCAGAGGTTCTTCGCGACACCGATCACAAGTGTGGCACCCACTTTTGACAATCACGCAATGCGTCGCCGTTTTCGCCCAACACCTTTCCTCCCCCGACCATTTGCTTGGCAATGACACACGAACTCTCACACCGCCGTAGCACTCCACTTGCGAGACAAACATTGATAGTTCTGCCATCCTCGGACAACAAGTCCTGTTTGTTATTTCACTGGATATAAAATCTGATTTCTCATAAACTAAACAACGGGGGGTGGGTGGCCAAAAAGACTACTTCTCCTTGACTTTCACTGCGCTATAAGTTCCACTTTATAAAATCCTGACAAGGACATTTCTACAACCACATTGAAGAGCATATTAAACACTATCACGATACTCCGCCACAGCCTTCTGGACGAGCGCCATCGAGAGATTTTGGCACGCGACTGCGATTCGGTGCTTGAGATCAGCTCGAGATAGTTTGTATGTCTCCTTCACACCCGATTGAAGTCCGTCCAAACAGGCAGTTGAAAGGGTTTGGATGAGGTGAACACACTTGAATATTCCGTCTTCTTCAGTTTACTCAACGCCCTTCCATTCTGAGACGGCGAAGGTTTTTCCAACGCCCTTTGATTCCATGCGGTGTCACCCAAATAATGTAGCCATCTTACAAAGTTTTCAAAAAGGTACGAAGGCGAGGATATTCTTCTCAGTTGCGTCGATGTAACCATCCAGCCTTCACCTTCAGATCGGTCACGAAGAAACAATATTGGTCTTTCCATTCCAGGCTACGTCCGTCCAGACCATTCAACTCGCCCCTAGGTACTGCGGTTTTGTATGATGTGTATCCTGACCTCTAGCGACGATTGTCGGAGCTGTCTCGACATTGGAGGTCTTACAAATGTGAGTAAGTTACTGCTTCTCCAGGTAGCCATGCAATGTGTGTGCACTCCACAACTAGAGTTCCTGCACTATTTGCGAGATGACATGTAATTCCAAAGTCTTCTCCAGTTCAGGCGCCACGGAATTGACTCATAGTTGTTGGGTTGTACATGAAAAGGTGATGGAGTATGCGAGCTCTCCTCCTTTCGGATGAACATCTTGTATCTTCCGCCCTGGTACTCGTATCCACGTCCTCTGTCTGGCCTGCGAAAACTTTGCTGATATGTGACTCGGTCGAAGTGTCTTTTTCTTCGCCCCCCCCCTCCCCTGTACACGTACTCTACACGTACTCAACACTACAGGTTATACAGAGCCCTGTAAGATGGTTTTACTCACAGGTTTCTAGACAAGTTACTTTTAAACTCCTTTCCTGGTGTTACCGAAACGCACAGCAAAAACAAAGCACATTCATATGGTCCACGTATGGACTCCTACAACGTGTAACAATACGTTTCTGAAAAGCGTGTCACGACCTGAATGACTTCCCTTGTCAGCTTTATGTCGTTTGCTGATGCCTTTATAGCACGGAGGACGTCTTCAGCAGTAATAGTGTGACTTTTTGATAGAGATTGCTAACATAACCCATTCAAACAGCTTCCGAAAGGAATAATAAAGCTAGCAAGGAGCTCAGAACACATTGGAAGCAGAACACAAGAAGTAATTTTTTAGAGCGAGACTTCGAAGCAAAAACTTCTTATCGTTATGTCGGATGGTCAGCCGTCCACGTGCACGGTGGAGAAGCCATCTAAATCGGAACTTGAACTTGCCAAAGATGTAAGATTCTCTGAACATTTTGTGTTGTCTCACTATTCCTATCGTGATATCGTTATCCACATTCTTATTTTTGATTGGGTTATCGCTACACAGTTTGGCTCACGAGCACTACTGCGCCATCATATAATGAGCATCAACTGACCCGCATCTGGCAATGGCATTTTCTATTAGTTAATGCACCCATCTGCAAAACACTAGGAAACTGCTGATGGGCCAACCTGCCAGAATCACTGCTAATGGGCCAACCTGCCAGAATCAAACCTAGTTCGCCATGGCGTTCTATCATTTGCGACTTTGGTAATAGTGACTATGCTTCATTAACAATTACTCAGATATTTCAGAGCATCTATCTGTTATTCATATTACAGCAGGATCACTTTTCCAGATACGAGGAATGGGTGTTGTGTGTTGGTTTGTTGTGTTTTTGTGGTTGGGGTGTGGGGGTGTTGTGGTTGTTTACCCATCACTCTCAACACTTCCAACACCGCTCCAGCAGAATATAACCGGAGATCCTGATCTAGTCTTCAGACTTGATTTTGATGTAAGTAACGAGCTTGTGCTGCAGCGTCATTTTTGTGAGAAACTGGCACTGTTGCGATATGTGAGGCATTGAACAATGTCCTCTTTCAGTTGTAGGAATATTTCATGGATCTGAAAATTGACTGAACCTACAGACGGAGCCTAGCGAACCATGAAGTTTCCACAGGGGCGCCTGACTTAAATTAGCCCACCATGACCATTTTATGCCTCCCACGATAGGTGACAGTTTGTCCGGGACAGAATGATGCTCCACCCAGTTGCTAGGCGAGCTGTGGATGTTCAGATGATCACGTATGAGTTGACCGACGAGTATTTTCGACATAAACATGCACACTGCTTCCGTGTTTCCATGCTCTCACCCCTCGCATGGAGCTATGATCCCATGACATAATGCATGTAAACGGTCACATAAGTTTTATGACTGACACCCCGAAGCTCCATGCTCCTTCCTCTGGACATGGTCATTGCCTTGAATCTCGTCTTCTTGCATTAAAACAGCAAACCTGGTTGAATCGTAGCGGCATTGCCCACTAAACGTAATAGAAACATGCCCACATCGCAACCACATCTCGAATTATACGAAAAAAATATACTTTGTCTACGTCCCACACAAAGCAGTCTTTTATACAGTGCAGCTCATCGTCAGTGCTTGACCTCGTTCAGTTGCTCTATGAAAAAGTAAATCATGAAAGAAACAAGGTTCTTACTTATGAATCCAGTTGACAATTTGTTAAGGTACGCATTTTGCAGGTGTTAGCTGATATAATCGCAAAGTTGCTGGGCAGCACCACAACTGCCGCAGCCAGCACAGCTTCTGCCGCAGCCAGCACTGCTTCGCCAACCACTAAGGGCAATCCTACGATAACAACCGTCAGCCCGGTAAGTTCTTTTACGCCGTTTCCTAGCTCTACGTCAATGAGTTACTCTGCTTTAAACGACTCACTAATAGAAGTGAATCCCTATTCACTTTCCACTACCTTCACTTCTCTCAAGGGCTTATCTGTGCAGCTTTAGTAGCATTAGAAAGAAGCTCAATTTGTCAGGTGGAAGCTGCTCTTTATTTAAGGATGGCGTAGTCATCCCTGGGGTTAACACGGGTGAAGGAAATATCAGCTGTGGTACTCATCGACTTCACAGCATCAACGCAGAACAATTGGGCTGCGGTGAGTTGGCTTTGTAAAACATTTTTGTACTCGAGTGTTACTGTGACTTTTCCGATGCATTTATTTTCCCATATCCTGTTACCATATTCTGTTGGTGGGAATCCCAGGCAAGAGACCAATCGATACCGATTTAGAATATCAGTCTGGTCGCTGGCTTACGTCGTCGCTCCTTTCCTTCGGCTTCTACGCGCTCTTTCCTTCGCTGTGGTTTTCGCGTCCTTTTCAGCTGCACGGTTATAGATCCCATCTTATACTATCCACAGCTGTTTCTTTACACATTAGCACCCTTTTTCTTATTTATCAATTTACAACTTCTCCATATGAGCGTTGTATTAGATAGTCATGCTAAAAGAAACATCAGAGTTAAAGGGTTCAGATAAGGAAGGAAAGTAAAGGATGAAGAGATTGATGGATAAGATAAAGAAGGAGCGTGGTGGAGGAGTGTTTCTCGGGAATACCACGGATCGTTTGCCGGCCAGCAGCTCTTTGGGGTGTTAAGGAGCGATAATCAGCTGAAAGAGTGGTAGGAGTGCTCGACATTGGCCTGTGCTTTCTAGGCACCAGAAGAAAAAGCGCGCAAGAAAGAGCACCGACGTGAGCTGGCGATTCGGCTTGTGAAAATTAATTGCCGATGTGATTGTAAGATTACCTCAGGAACCTCTATGGAAATACCACCAGTGGGTGTAATGCAACGAGTCTTCAAGGATGGTGAAGGGAAAGTAGTAGTCAGTAAAAGCGCTCAAACCTCTTACTGGCTTAGAAATACATTTCAGGAGATCAGTGTACTGGTGAAACTTGTTAATTCATTGAAAAATGCAAGAATAGGAGTTGTAGCAATCAGCTGTCCATCAGAAATCCTTCTTACGATGGGGATCTACAGCGAAAGTGATATACGGTAACAATAAGAATTTTGGCACATTCACGTGTCACTGTAAAGTGGACATATCCTGATAACCAGCAGAATGATAGTCCCTTAAATGGTGATGACTGTGCCCAATGTAGTTGAGTGAATAGCTTAACAGCGCCACTTGTGCATAAGTTTCAACGCAAATTATAGACGTGACTAGCGTGAAAAATCAGAGTTTCAGAAGTAAAGTCATTGCACCAACAAATCCGGCAACGGAAAAAGGAACAGACAGAGCCCTCGACTTAGCTGGATCGCTTCTTGCTGTGAGTATTCTGAAAGAATCATTCACCTTCCGCTCGCATGCGGTTTTGTATATACAGCTGAAATGCCTTACAATTTTTGGAGCAACAAAAACCTCACACGAGCTCCACAGAGAATCCTGAAATACACTGCGTGCCCATTTTCTAAGCGTTTCTAACAATCCTTCTATTCTATAAACCAGTAACTTTGTGTGTCGGTTTGTATGTTTGTATGTAGGTTTGTATGTATGTTTGTCTGTCCGTCCGCACAATACTTCACGGGTTCGAGTTCGCTGGAGGCGAAAACGACCGCTAGGCAAACCGGTAACCGACTGGGAGGATGTAGCAATCCAATGTTTTGATCGTGATATCGGCCTCCGCTATATAAGACAACCATTCGGTACACTCCGAGCCATTGCACGAGCTGCTGGCGTGGCAGCTGGACGTGTGCTCGTGCGGGGCAGGGTGGGGTGGGGCCGAGAGGGGGGGGGCACTGGGCGCCCCCCCCCTCTGCTTCCTTCCCTTGCGCGTACTCAGCCCGGCCTGAGCATGCGCAAGAGAAGGAAGCAGAGGGACGGTCCGATTGGAACACTGGGGCGTTTTTTTTTAGTATGATATAGGTTATGGCACAGGAATATGTGGGTGACAAGAACTGCTGATAAAGGGAGTTAGAGTGGAAAGGACAACATACCCATAACGCGGTACACAGCATCAGTTAGGCGTTGGTTTCAGCAAATGATATCAAGGGGAAGGTGGAGAATGCGACGGCGGGTGACAAGAAATGATAACAGCTGATAGGGCCTGATAGAGAACGATGCAGTTGTTGTCAATCAAACGCTGGAGCCTCTACACCACGAAATTATGGAGTTTTAGTGATAGCGACATTGATGACGAGCAATTTTATCAATTGATAAGTAAAGATAAGGGGACATTTTCACGACATCTCTGACCACTACACTGCCAAAAAAGCCTCTCAGTAAGCGAAATTTTCCCACAGCCATCACTCCTCTGATAGCACTAGAAAATGTACTCATCCCACTAGGGGGGTATATACTTCGCCTGAAACAGGAAGTTTGGAGAAATCAAAAACTCCAATATTGGAACACACTTTATGCGTTCAGTGAGTATTTAAATATTTTTTTTGCTTTTCAACATTTAAATCACTGATGAGAACGTATAACGAAGTAGTTTGTAAGATATTCAATGAACATATTGTCATCTGCAGCCATTCATGCAACCTTAGCAGGTGGATTGCATGTTAATGACAAGTTAATCGCCCATCGTTGGTGTTGTGATGCAGGTAATAAAAACGGAATGTGTTTATCTACTGTGCAACACATATTCTGTACTTCCTATCTACTTCCAAGATCTACGTATAGAATGGGCGTTATGGCCGAAACCCGCACGCCTTCCGCAACTCTGAGGGGTGCAGATTTCGCTAGGTTACTCTGTCTATTATGATTCGACCACTACCGCGCAATATGAGCAGCTCATGCAATTAACTAATTCCATCCCGTTATGATGTGCGCCTGGCGAAGCCAGGCCAGCTCGGCGAAGCCGAGCTAAAAAGAAGGAGGAGAGCTCGGCGTCAGCCGGGCGATCCGACTGGTAATAATGTGAGATAGGAACAAGATGTTCGCTAATCCACACTACGAGAGGAGAACCACAATGGCCTCACATCTTCCCATCAACACCCACTCTGACGCGAACATCGTCTCCTTTAGGCCGGGCCGAGCGGGCGCGGCTTCATCGCGCTGCTCCTTTCAGTGTGGTTCTCGGAATCCCCTTTTAGCTGCACGATTGATCGACGATCGCTATCCTATACCATCACTGCTATTATTTCAACACTGGCACTCTTTGTCTTATAGTAGTAAGTGAGGACAGCATCGACGACCATATCACAGTCGAATGGTGCAACCCGCCTGATGGAGCAGCCAAGTCCATCCCGTCCTAACTATGTCTAAGTA